CTCCATCCTCATCCTTCTTGACTTCTCTGCAGCCTTTGACACTGTCAATCACCCTCTTCTCCTTGGTACCTGTCTTTTCTCTAGGTTTTTGGGAGATTGTTCTCACCTGGCTCTCCTACCTATTGGACCATTCCTTCTCAGTCTCCTTTCTTGGATCTTCATCCAGATTATGCCCACTAACTCTGAGTGCCTTGAGTTTTGTCCTTGGCCCTATTCTCTTTTCCCTATATACTGTTTCACCTGTTGATCTGATCAGTTCCAATAAATTAAATTATCATCTTTATGCTAAGATTCTCAAGTTTACTTATACAACTATAACTTCTCAGCTTACTTCCAGTTTTGCACCTCCAATTGCCTATTAGACATCTTGAACTGGATGTCCTATATTCAACTTAAATTTAACATGTCCCAAACTGAACTCATTATCTTTTCCCCAATGCCCTCACCACTCCCAAACTTCCCTATTACTGAGGAGGCACTACCATCCTCCCAGTTACCCAGGCTCACAACCTAGGTGTCATCCTTGACTGTTCACTATCTCTCATGCTCCATATCCAATCTGTTGCCAAGACTTGTCATTTTCATCTTTGCAACCAACATCTCTCAAATATGTCTCCTTCTCTCCTTTGACACTGCCACCATCCTGGTACAGACCCTCATCTCCTCACACTTGGACTATAATAAGAGTCTGCTGGTTGGGTTGCCTGCAATAAGTTTCTCCCCACTCCAGTTTATCCTCCATTCAGCTAACAGTGATTTTTCCTAAAGCTCAGGCTTGACCATGTGATTCCTCCTCCCTAACTTAATAAACTCCAGTGGCTCCCTATCACATCTAGAATCAAATACAAAATCTTTTATTTGGCATTCAAAGCCCTTGTCCTCCCTTCCAGTCTTCTTATAATTTATAACTGCACCCTCCCCAACACAAATTTTTGGATCCAGTAACAGATCTTCATTGTTTCCTGAATGAAACACTGTATCTCTGGGCATTTTCCCTGGCTGTCCCCCATGCCCAAAATGCTCTCCCTCCTTATCTCTGTCTCCTGGCTTCCCTGGATTCCTTCTAGTCCCAGATAATATGTTACCTTCTGTAGAAAACCTTTCCTAATCTCTCTTAATTCTAGCGCCTTCCCCCTGTTGATTATTTCCAATTTATTCTGTATATAGCTTGTTTGTACATAGTTGTCTGCATGTTGACTCTCCCAACAGATTGTGAACTCCTTTTGCCTTTCTTTTGCCTTTCTTCAAATCCCTAGACCTTAGCACAGTGCCCAGCACATAGTAAGTGTTTAATAAATGCTTGACTGATTGACTGAAGTGTTCAATGAATATAGTGACTTAAATAGTCTTGTGTTATTTGTCATTATTTCCTTCAGTCGACAAACATTTATTAAGCACCTACTGCCTGTAATATGCTGTGGTGGATAATAATAGCACATTTATATGGCACTTTACAATCACAAAAAACTTGACAGGTCATCTAATTTCATCCTCCCAGTACTCCTACAAGGGTGACAATAAAAGATTGATAATGATCAATAATAATAATAATAATTAATAATAATGATAACAATTCATTTTCCTCTAGTGCTTTTTTCCTCCTACAACAACACTTTGAGGTAAAGAATATAAATATCACCCCCTTTTAATGTATTTTTATTTATATTCATTCATTTGTTTGTAAAGGCAGTTTTTTACTTGAAGCTTCCTACATTGATGAAATCACAGGCTCAATAAAAGAAGCATTTTTTTTTACTATAAATTTAGTAAGCCTTTAGGCTTACTAAAGCCTTGAGAGATGGGAAGTCAGAGGGAAAGGCTTCCTTTGACCTGGATGGAGTCCAGGAAATCCTGTGAGCATGGTTCCTCCAAGTATATCAGGAAAAAAAAAAAACTATAGATAGTTTCCCACCTCCCTGTGTCATAAGCAAACCCAAGGTGATTTGGATGGCATCATGAAAAAAAGGTTAATCTTCATGACCAAGATCTTTGTTATTTTCTCTGTTTTGGTCATCTAGAGATACAAATGGCCTTGGACAAGTCACTTAATTTCCTAGGTCCTCAATTCTTTCATATGTAAAATGAGGGGGTTGGCCTCTGAAGTCCTTTTCAGCTATGGAATTACGATCCTATTTGACCCCTCTAGATGTATAGCAAAGAAAGGCGTTTGGGAACCTCTACCCTTTCCCCTCTGTCAGCTTCCATGTTCCTTTTTGGAGGCAATTGGGGTTAAGTAACTTGCTGAGAGTCACACAGCTAGTGTCAAGTGTCTGGTCTGAGGCTGGTTTTGAACTCAGGTCCTCCCGCTTCCAGTGCCAGTGCTCTATCCACTGCGACACCTAACTGCCCCTCCATGTACCTTTTTAAGCAAACAGTTGTATGTACCTTTTTCCACCAATAGAATGGAGAAGTCTCTGCTCTGTTGGGGGCTGGATTCATCAGGTTTGGCTAGTGTTGTGTTGTCCTGGAGGCTATTGTTGCCCTGGCCCACTGCTGGCCAATGCTCTGATCTTTCCACCTATCATTCTCTCCTTTTTATTCCTCTAATCCAAGTTTAGTCTTAGATTTTAAGCTAAGCAGGAGAGGCTAAAGTCCTGGCCTGGATTTCTATGGGACCACCCCTAAACAACAAGGCATTCAGGCATTCTCAGCTGTTGTTCAGTCATTTTTCAGTTGATTCTAATTCTTCATTACACCATTTGGGGTTTTCTTGGCAAACATACTGGATTGGTTTGCCATTTCCTTCTCCAGCTCATTTTACAGAGGAGGAAACTGAGGCAAACAGGGTTAAATGACTTGCCCAGAGTCCCACAGCTAGTAAGTATCTGAGGTCAGATTTGAACTCAGGAAGGTGAATCTTCCTGGACTCCAGGCCCGGCGTATCCACTGAGTCACCTAGCTGCCTCTCAGTGTGAGTTTAAGACTGAGAACATCTTGGCAAGGAATGTATTGGGGAGTGTACAGGGAATATGTCTGAGAACATATTGGGGAAAACATGGAAGGCAGTGGGGTATAACATGGCCAAGAACATGTGGAGTAATGTTACTTGAGAACATCTGGGAGGAATGTTATAGACAGGGAACAGGCCTTAACAAAGTTAATTACAGGGTTGGGGAGGGGGTGTGGAGGAAGGGTACATCTGTTATTTGCCTGGGACTCAATTAATTTGAATAGGTTGCAGTAGAAGAGGTTTCCTCATTAGAACAAATGCCACACATCTACAAGCCACCTCATTTATATTTCGGCTAATGTTATTCTACTTCACCAAGTGAGTCCTTAATGTCAGTTTTAATTAAAGCGTTTGCCTCTGATTGTGGACTTCTATCCAATGAATAGGCAGGAGGGTCACTGGAGAGTGGGAGACCCTGCCCTTGCTGATGGGAATTCTGAGGACCTGCAGCAAAGTAGGCTGGGCCAATCTGATGACTCTTTAATGAAGATCATACTTTAAAGATGCCAACACATCTTTTGTTTAGTAGTAGTAGTAGAAATAGTAATAATAATAAGTAATTAGGGACCTCAAATGAAACCTCAGAAGGAGAGACTTGTGTTAAAGGACTTCTGTTCTTAGCCAGTGCTCTCTAAGCCAGCAGGCTGTTTATTGAGATGAATTTAAGAGAGCAGGATGAGGATCGTTGATAGGGTCAAGGCAAGGAGGACCAGGGACAGCTCTGAGTCAACAGAGTAGGGTGGCCTGAGATGGAAAGACTGCTAGCGTCAGAGAGTATGCTAGATTTGGAGCTGAAGGACCTGAGGCTGACCTCTTGGCTCTGATGTTTTCCTACTTGTGTTCCTTTAGACAGGTCACCTAACTCCCTGGGCTTCGGTTCCTTCATTTGTAAAATTAAGGGGTCAGACTCAGTGGCCTCTAAGGTTCCTTCTAGCTCGAAATCTATGCTCCCATGAACTTAGTTTGAGTCCTGATCCGGCTACTTAGTACCTGTGTGACCTTGGGCTAGTCCGTTCTTCTCTTTGGGTTGCAGTTTTTTCATCTGCGAAATGAAGACAATAATAAACCTTGGTCTTGCTTCATTTACAGGGTAGTTGGGAGGATCAAATGAGATAATGGATAGGAAGTGTTTTGTAAGCTCCTGCATCTGGTTCAGTTACACACACAGAATTATTACTGTCACAGGCCTTTGTCTTCCTCTTCAACCTTGGGCAAGTTACTTCCCCTCAGTTTCCCTATCTGCAAAACTGAGGGTAAGTGTAAAGAAAATCTCCGAACCTCTTTCTAGCCCAATACATGATCCTTCCACCTCGGTGTTTACACAGATTCATAAGGTACCTGTCCCCAGCGTAAAGGAGGTTTAAGTTGGGGTTGGGGGACCAGGCAGGCTGGGACTTGGCCTCTTCCGATCAGGGGCATTCAGGTGCAACGGGAGGAGGGCAGGCAGGGCCCCGGACCAAGCTGTCTCCGCCACTCGCCGCGTCCGGTCTCTCGGAGACTAGGCGGAGGCAGAGAGCAAGAGATGCTGGGGGATGGGGTCCCCCGCCCCCCGCCTGCTCAGCTCCGCAGCAATCCGCCCATGGATGAGGGCGGGGCGGCTCAGCTCCAGGGAGCCCCATCCCCATCCCCGGAGAGGGTGGGGCTTGCAGCTGAGGGATGCCCCCTCCCGAAGGCCCTCCCGGGCTGCTCGCGCCCCGCCCTTGGCCCCGCCTTCCCCCGCGAGACCTAGGGCCTTTCCAAAGTCGAGCCCAGTGAAGGGGTTTCGGGAAGCCTACCCTGGCCAGGCTGCCTCCTGGCTCGGCTGCATCTGCCTCAGCAGCGCGCTCAGTCGCAAGAGAAAAAGTGCTTGCGCCGGGTGGACAGGAGCGCAGGGGGGGTCGAGCAGCGAAGGTGCCGATTCGTCCTCATTCTTCTCCTCAGAGCTCCCCCTCCTCCTCTCGCCTCAGTGGTGTGGACCGCGAGAACGACTAGCCACAGCCCGACTGGCGCCGCTGTCAGTGCGTCCGGGCTCCCCAGCGGTGTGCGCGGGGGGCCTGCTGGAGGAGGCGGCGGCGGCGGCGGCGGCGGCGACTACGACGACGAAGACGACAGGGGCGGCCACATCTTCTCTGGCCCCCACCCCTGCATTAGTTCTCCCAACTGCCCCCGCCCCTGGGCTTTTTCTGCAGCCCGTGCGCGACTCGCGGGCGCTCCCGCCTCTCGGTCCCCTCCTCCACCCGGCCCTCGCTCCTCCCCGCCTCCGCCTCTCGTTGTTTCTCGGAACCTTTTTTTGCTCCTGACCTTTCCTCGCTGGGTGAGTGGGGCCCGGGGGTGGAGCGGGGCGGCTGGGTCTCGCTTCCTCTTCTCTGAGTGGTTTTTCTTCTTAGATTCTCCGACCACCCCCCAACCCCCACCCCCACCCCCTCCTATTTTTAGAAACACTTTCAGCTCCTGGAGGGAACCACGTGCTGGCCCGGGACGGAGTAAATACACAAATAAGTAGAGGCGCTCGCGGGGCAGGGGCCCGGAGGCCTCGGCGGGCCCAGATCTGGGCGCTGTAGACCCTCGGCCGAGCGCTGCTCGGATGCGCCCTTCTCGGGCCTCGGTCCCAGAGCCGCCGCCGCCCCAGGCTCCGGGTCGCCGCGGCGACGATGGTGGCCCATGGGGCTGCTCTCGTGGCGGGGCCTGGGAGCTGGGGGAGGGGTGTAGGGACGAGCGGGGGCGGGGGGTGGCGATGGCGGCGGGGCCGCTCCGAAGGGCCGCTGGTGGCCTTGGACCCCTCGGTAGGCTGGAGGGGCCCGAGCGGCCCCCGGGCCCCGGTGCTTCCCCAAGCCCCCCGCAGTGGCACGCGCCCTCCCGCGGCTCTTCCGGGCCGAGGACGGGGCCCGGCGAGAGCGGGGCCGCAGGTAGCAGTTCTGGGCGCTGGAGAGGCCGGGCTGCTATTGTGGAGAAGGAGCTTTCTCCGTCACAGTCCTCGGGGCCTCTGCCGGGGAGGGGGAATGCTTCTCCAGCCATTTTTTTTATCCTTTGCATTACTCTTTTTCCCCACGCACCGAAAAAGTAGTTTTTATAATCTAATGTGAGTTATGGAGAACTTAAAGGGGTCACCCGTCCAAGCTCCCAGTCTTTAGGTGGGCAAGGAATTATTTTCCCTTTTTTGACTCCCAGGCCACCGAAAATGCAAAGAAAATTAAATAAATTTGTTTTCAAACTTTCTCAGGCCCTTCCCCACTTTATCTGGGCTTGGGGAGGGGAACAACAGGGAAGGGAGGAGGGATTTTTGAGGGGAGAGAGAAAGGACAGCAGTTCATCCCTACACCCAACTTTGGAGAACTCTGGGGGATTTCTGTCCAAGGGGTCGCACCTGGGGACCTGAGGTGGAAGATAATCTAGCTCTGAATTTACCTTCCTGTAGAATGTAAGATCCTTGAGGGCTGGGGCTGTTTTCCCTTTTGTCTCCAGCACTTGCTAGGCTCGTTGAATGGAATTGTTGGATTGCTGCCATCCTGTTGGTTCTTTGAACTCTCTGGGGAAGTTCCTGGCAGGGTGTCTCATCTGATATGTTTGGAGTTAGGATTGAATGAAAACTATGGTCCCTTACAGCTCTAGCATCCTGTCTGAAGCCGGTTTGGGGACTGGCTAAGCAACAAGCAGGGCCTCTCAGTCCTAAAGAGGTCTCAGCTGGAGATCCCCTAGAGCTGGAAGAGAAAGGGGACTGGGCAGATCCTTCCCTTACCTAGCTGGGAGCAAGGAGTGGGACTGGGGATTTGGGGAGGAAGGATCTGTCACCTGTTTGGTTAAAGGGAGCTGGGTAAGGAAAACTGGGTTGGTGGGAGGATAAGTTATCTAAGTTTGGGCTTTCAACTCAGACTTCCCCTCTGCCTTTGGAACTCTCAGAAACTATTAGTGTCTCAGACTAGTGAGTCTGACCCAAAGCCTCCCCTGAACTGAATGCAAAGAGCATTAAAAATTGCTTTCTCTAAGTATGTCAGGGAAAGAACTCCAGGTAAGCTACTTATGCAGTCCTGGGGAGTCAGCTGGTATAGGTATTCTAGTACATTCAGCTTCATTGTACTGAGGAGAAGGCATACTTGGAGAGAAAGTGACAAATCATAATAAAATAGCTGAGACTGGAACCCAGTTCTCTTTACTCTTAGTCCAGATCTTTTCCCCCAGACTGCTTGGGGCCCTGTCTAGAGGAGGGTGAAATCTGAATTTAAAACTCCGTATGGTAGATAGATCAAGAGGATTACTTGGGTAGATCACTTTTCTGAAAGATTGTTTCCCTGACCTTGCTGACCCTGGGGAGGGATTAGTTCAGGGGGAAGGATTAGTTTTTGGCAGCTGCAGGAATCCTGACCTAGGGTGCTGGGACCCACTTAGGGGTAGCATTTGGCTGAGAGCCTGGGCTCATGAAGAGTTCCTCACGTTCTTATCAGATGTAAACAGGGCTTCCAAGAGTTGAGGCAAAGGATATAAGGGGGGGTGGGCAGTGTTTCCCATAAAAAAGGCAGCTGATATTAGATGCCTTGCTGTGGGGTGGCTGAAGATAAGAGACAGGGACAAAGGGAGTTAGTCTGACAACAAACTCCTGGGGCCTTCGGTGACCCAAATAACTGCTCAGGGATGGAGGATAAGATCAAGATTTAGATAATGAGGATGTTGTGTGATCACCAAAAGAACCTAGCAGTACTAGTCTTATCATAATGATCTGTGGCAATGGAAAAGCAGCCTGGCATATTGTCTAGAGCTGTGGACTAGGAGTCAAAGAAGACCAGGTTCCAAGTTTAAGTTCACATTGTTCTAGCTTTCTGACTATTGGCAAGTCACTTAATGTCTCTGAGCTTTAGTTTCTTCTTCTGTAAAATGGAGAATCAAAGGAGATAAAGTATGTAAAGAACTTTGCAAACCTCTAAGTGCTATATAAACATTAGCTGTTATTTATTATTCTCTGGGGCTGCCCTTTGGATTTCTGGGAGAAAGTGATAGGAAACTGGGTGTGAAGTGGCTTAATAGGGCAGAGGTCTTGATAGTGTACTAGAAGGACAGGGGAGGGAGTCCCAGCCAGGGGATCAAGAGAATTCAGGGTTATTTTCTCTCCACGGGCCTCAGATTCCCTATCTATAAAAAGGATTCAACTAAAACATCGGATTTCCCTTTCTGTTCAGAGTGTGATTCTGTGATTATATGAGGGTGGGACTGGAAGAACTGGAAGCAAAGAAAAGATTGGTTCAACTCCCTCCCCCATCACTTTTCATCTCAGCACTGATGGCAACTCCTTGGTCACTTCTGTGTCCCCTCCTTTCCCAGAATGTTTCCATGCTTCCCCCTCTCTCTTAGTTGAGTTAAAGGCAACCTTTGTGGGGGCAAAAAGTGACATCCATGGTGTTAGGTCAAGAATAAATTTGTAGGCCTAATTTCTGGCTGTGCTGCTTGCTGCAATCTTGAGCAAAGCCCTTCTGCCTTCTGGGTTTCAGTTTCCTCATCTGTAGAATGAAGAGGTTGGACTAGAGTCCCTCTAAATCCTTTCCCAACTCTAAATCCTATAATTTAGGGGCTGAAGATCATAGATCTAGAGTTCAAAGGGACAATCTACTTCAACCCTCTTGTTTTGTAGATGAGGAAACTGAGGCTCAGGGGAGGTTAAGTGACTTATCCAAGGTCCTACAGATAGTATCAGAGATGAGAGTTGAACACCTCTGACTTTAGGAACATTGTAGTTTGGTTTTGTTTTTTGCAGTGTCCCACAATGCCTCATGAAGGCATGACTAGACAAAAGTGCTTGTATCCAAAATCTTGGATTTACAGCGAACCACAGGCCGAAAATGAATTGTGTGATAGGACATTCAGAAAAGCTAATTCAGTGCTATGCTGCGTTAATAGAAGCATAGTGTCCTGAATGAGGGTGATGATAATCCTCTGGCACTTTGCCCAGGTCAGACCACATCTGAGATACTGTGTTCAGTTGTAGGCACCATATTTTTAGGAAGGATTTAACAAGCTGGAGACAACCATGATGATGAATGGGCAGGGGACCATGCTATGTGATGATAGGATGTAGGAAATGGGAGTGTTTTTGCCTAGAGAAGACAAGACTTAGGTAGGACGTGATCATTGTCTTCATGTGTTTGAGAGGCTGTCACATGAAAGCAGGAATAGTCTTGTTTTGCTTTGCCCTAGGAGGCAGAGCAATATGTAGAAATAGCATATTTAGGCTCAATGTAAGGGAAAACTTCCGCACACTTAGAGCTGTCCAATTAGAATGATTGCTCTCCAGTAACTATCACTTGTCAGTGATCTAGAAGACATTCTTGCTAAGGTATGGATTAGGTAGATTAGAAGACCTCTGAGGTCCCTTTAAAAATTTTTATTGATGTTCTTTTTCTTTTTTTACATTATTGTCACTTCCCAGCAACATCCTCCTTGTGTAAAAGTGGATATAGTCAAGCAAAACAAAACATTGGCCACATCTAAAAACGTGTGCTTCGTTCTATAATCAGCCACCTCTCTGCTTAGAGGCAGGACACCCATTTTACCATTATTCTTGTGAAATCTTGACAGACCACTGCTTAATCAGAAGTTTTGAAGTTTTTCTCTGTTATTTTCTTTGACGGTATTGTGGTCATGAAATTAAGACTCCTAAGTGACAGTCATTTAACTGAGACCCAGAGAAGGGAAGGAACTTGATGGGGCTAAGACAGTAAATTAACTTCAGAGCTGGAATTAGCTTCCAAGGCTCCTAGGTATCCAGGTTCCTTATTTAGGGCTCTTTCCACCACACTATTCTATTTCCAAAAGCTTTTTCTTTCCTTGTTCTCTGAGGAGGTGAGAGTGATCCAGGTGGTCCCACTGATTCACGTTGAGCTTAGTCTCATTTTAGGCCAGGCTGTTGATTTTTTTTTTTAATTTACATTTTAAAGTATTATGAAGTTAAAACCTTCTTAGGTAGAGGGACCTTTCCTTAGGCCCCAGTGAATCCTGGGCTTCCTAATTCCTGCTCCCTGGCCAGGATTAAGCTATGTGAAGGGAGATCTCAAGGAGTTTACAATCTAAGGAATGAGGAGGATCCCTGGGTTTATAGTCAGATGACCAGAGTTTGAGTTCATATTCTTTATAAGATGTGACAAGGTTGGTCTAGATTATCTGTAAAGCGTCTTCTAGTTCTGACATTTGAGGATTCTTTAAATGCCACTTGTAAAGACAGAAACCCTGCTTGCTACCTGTCAGGATAAATCATTACAGCATTCTCACTAAGTATTTTCTATAAAAAGCCCAAATTTTATAAGCTTCCTGCTATTGGCTAGGTAATGTTTA